TTCAAGGAACAGCCACAAGTCTCACAGTGCCAGACGCAGTGAAGAAGATGGATGTGAACATTCCACAATGTTTTTGTTTGACAGAAATTTCTGTGAACCGCTGCAAAAAGTGGTATGAATGATAGGATAAACGTGTTCTAAGCAAGGGAGAGTATTTTGAGGGGGGTTAATGGCAATCTGTCTTTTACTGTAATAAAATTTTTACCTAAACATTCACCATTCTGACCACACTACGTATAAGAATGTCAAAATCACCCCCACAGGACGCAATCAGCAGAATTACAGAACATGGGTATTTCCACAGCCTCTCTCCTCGAAAGTGCAGTTCACAGACCAGCCAGATAAGTATCACCTGGGCCTGTAACACTACCAGCCCTACTCAACACCCGCTGTGCTCCCTGGGTGATGCACACACACATTTAAGAAATCCACCAAACAAGCAAAAAAAAAAAAAAAAATACACATATACACACACACACACACACACACACACTCACACATGCTGAGGAAGAGATGAAAACGGAGCCCACAGATTAGACTTTGGTAATGTATCCACCAGAGGCAAGGTACACAGGCTGTTGGAACAGTGGCTGGTGCAATGGCTAGCCCATAGTTGTCAAGCTCTAGCCAAATGTCACTTACATCTTTCTCTTTTTAAAACAGAGAGGCAATTTTGAAACGGAACCATAAAACAGCAACACTGCTGTTTCTAATAACTGTTCAAGGTTTTTTGGGGGGATGGTACTGGGAATCGAACTCCAGGTCTCACCCTTGCCAGGCAGGTGCTGTACCAGTGAGCAACATACCCAGCCCCAAGATGTTTTTCAGAATGCAGGTATAGAACCTTAGATTGTGACCTAAAATGATCCAGGCAGAACCAAAGTCTCTAAGGAGCAGAACCTGAGGAATGACAACAGAGCCTTGTGAACTAAGGTTAGAAGTGACGGGTGCTGTCAATAGTTTCGAATTTTCCCCAAGTTTCACATAGTCTGGCCTACAGAGTGTGCGATATTCCACTAAGACTCCCAGTTACTACCACCAATCAGCTCTTTACCTCCCCTTTCCTCTGGTCACTTAAATTCATTACCACTAGCCAACTGGGAGAGAGACCTGAGCTTGTCTCCTTGTCAGCTGGCCTAAAATAAGTCCTTTTATTTTTGCAAACATTTGATGCCAAAGTCCTGGTTTCTGCATGTCTGAGCAGCAAGCCCTTGCTGGGTATCATTCTGGTCTACAAGCATGAGCTTTACAACCCAACGGGATCCATAGATTTGTATCCAGCCCCCGCACCTTGCAAACAAGTGAATAAACATACTTCCACCTGCCTCATCTGTAAAGTGAAATAAGAGCCACTGAGGTCAACTCAGTTTCTGTTAAACCACCTGCACTCCTTCTCTCATCCCTCTGCACAGCAAGAGGGTTCAATGATCTACAACAGAGGGCACTTATAGCCACATCACGGAAATGACACACCCCACTTGGGAGCAGGAGATTTAAGGGCCATTGGTGAGTCTGCCACCACTGTCCTCCCTCTGCCTAAGGACAAGAGCCCATTAGGCTGCTTTCTAGCCAAATCCTGGAGTGGGGAGCACATGGCCCAAGGCATCAGCCAGCCTGCACACGGAGCCTCAGTTAATACTTTCAAAGAGAAACTAGGCCAGGGGTTCTGATTTTAAAAAGTGTAAGTATTGACTAAGTAGGAGATGCCTGAATTTATTTTTAAAAAGTGTAGCCCCTTTTGTATTTTAAAAAGGATTCACTATTTAATGTTAGCAGTAGCACATCCTATTGAAATTTATTGTGGTGTGATAATTTATTACACTGAATTGCACCACTTTAAATAGCTTATTGGAGCCAATCTCAAGGCTGGAAGGTGTTACTGAGTATTGTGCCTTCTGCCTTTACTGAGCTTGGAGGAAACTTTGTGTTGAGAGAGACTTGGCAGGACTCTGGATGCTGTTGAAGGGGATGCTCTGTCAGAGGACGCTCACCCAGGATCAGCAGCAAAGCCTGGGGCACTGTCCCTGGCTCCCCTCCTCAGGCGCCTCTGTCTGGCTGTCGATGTGTCCTTCCTTCTGCAGGCTCCCATCGCCAGGCATGGTCCCGATCGGCCCTTCTCACAACACAAGGAGGCTCGCACCAGCTCAGAGTTTCCAGAGCTTCCCAGGAAAATCCAAGCTTCCATTTGTGGGAATTCTCTTCAGTGTTCAAAGATAAGAGAAACTGTACTTACTTTGTATAGAGAGTAAAATTTCCAGCTTTGCCCCAGAAGCCATCAGTGGTATTTGCCACGTGATTATGTCATACATTTAATCATGAAGGGAAAAATGTTTTGAGATTCTTATTTCAGAGAAATATGAATATATAGGAAGTAGTTCCAGATCAGGAAGTCTAATACCAGCGCTGCAGCTGTGTACAGAGAGAACCTTTCGCGCCTTTTGACCTGTAGTAAGCATCCGTTTCTGCTGTACAGGTGCTCTGGGAGTGTGGTGCCCACTGCATCTTGTTCTTCTGGGGACACCTGAGCAAGGATGGTTCTGAACGAGGAGCAGTGTCATCACAGAGGGTCCCTTAGCAGAAGTCAGGCACGGTGTCTGGGGGCCCAGCCTTCCCTGGGGAGCGTGGGCTCCTTGGGAATGTGTCCGAGTGCGTCTGTGTGGGTAAGTGTGTACATACAGATAATACAGAAGTTGTCATTTAAATGTGTGAGCGTGAACTGGCATCGAGGTGTGATACCGGAAGCAGTAAGGTGCTCAGTGGCTGCGAGAAGCAGAGAGCACAGTCAGCCCTGCGGCTGGAGCCTCGCACCCGGGTTCGGACTCTGAACCATCCGCGTCATGTGTAAATAGTGTCAGGTACCCAGAAGAGAGGCAGTCACTGCGAAAGGGAATGTGAGCCGCTGGCTGGCTTATGCCTTCTGCCCTGTCGTTTTTCGCCTCCTTTCTTTGTAAAGGGGTTGTTTTTGTTTTGTAATAGAATTTTGAATGCCAAAGTTTTATTTATTAAGAAAAAAGTTTTCAATGTTAACACCTAGTGTTTTTCCACTGAACTATTGTTTGTTGATAATGGAATTTGTATTTACAGAGAAATAAACTTTATATATATAAAAAAACAGGCAATAAACAACCATTTCCAATTTGTTACATGTGTCACCCCTGAAATGCACTTTATGTCCATGACATATTTCTATGCTTAGATTTTGCTTTAGAATGTTACATCTGAAGAATTTAAAACTATGCTATTATGGCTTATTAAATGTTTGAGTTTTAAAGGCACTTTTAAAAAAATCACGTGAAGGGCCAAGTATTTAGCTCAGTGGTTCTGACACCTGCCTCACAAGTACAAGGTCCTGAGTTCAATCCCTGGTACCAAAAAAAAAAAAGAAAATCAGGTGCAAGAAGACTCACTCTAACCTTCACTGATCATCACTTCTGACCACATTTCCGATGCACAGGAGACAAAATTCCCATGTAAAAGATGCCCTAGTACTACTCTGCCATACAGAAAGATAAACTTGAATCCTTTGTAGGAAAATGGATGCATCTTGAGCCCATAAGTGAAATAAATCGATGTACAAATTTAAGATTTCACATGGTTTCTTTTATATGAGAAACTCAATTATAAATAAAAAGCAAAATAAAAAGATAATAGGAAGCAAGAAGACAGATGTTTCTCAAATAGAAAGGACATCAAGAGGAGGGAAAGGAGGAAAAGGGGATGAGAAAGGAAGTAAAATGTGTTATGAACATGTACCACTCCACACAGGAATAGACTACAAACGTACTAATAAAAAAGAAAATAAGTATTAAAAAAGAATGATAACAGCATTCTTATTGAGGACAGGAAGCTGAGACAATTCTTTACAAACCCTATTTAAATAACTCCAGTATTCAACATAATTTAGGTAATTTTTCACAATTCCCTATTTTGTCCAATTCAATACATGTAACTTTGTACGAGGGATCGAACTTGGGACCTTGTGCGTGCAAGCCAGACAGCGGCATGACTGAGCTAAATCCCCAACCCTACAAGTAAGTATTTGACTCTACATTGTTTCTCATTTCCTTCTGCAGGGTCTATGCCATGTAAAACTTGAATTATGTACAAACTTCTCTAGTTAACCTGTCCTATGTCAGTTTAATTCTCAGACCCAGCCAATAAGTAAATAAATAAACATGGAACCATAAAAGGGAAGAGGGGAAGTTCTGTCTCCTCTGCACACTAATTACATGGCCTTATAAATTCCATCCTCTCCTAACACAGTTTATCTGAAGCACACAGAATTACAAGATCACTTATATAAACACAAGATTATTGAATGAGTGCTTGCAATTTTAAACAAGTTGTGTTGGGTCAGAATATATTTGGAAATATGAAAGTTTTTAGCTTATACAATGGAAGCACTGAATACTGACGATAATTTAATTTCTCCCATTTTATTTATTAATTTTGAAAACCTGTGCCATAGTGCTACTTAAAATGACTAAAAGCAATCTACTTGGAAGAGTCTGGAAAACTTGCCTCTCAACGGTAATTCAGGGATGTTGCGTGATCTTCCTTTTCAGGAACATCTCATTAACCAACCAATTTTTAACTCTTGGTCATCAGACTGACATAATTCAACAGTAAAACATCCAGCAGCTGTTTCCCTATCATTCTTAACACTGTTGATCTAGGCTTTCACTCAAAAATCATGAAAACATTATCTACCAAACCACACAAACTATTTTACACTCTCCCAGTGAATCTGTTTTATACTCTCCCAGAAAAGTAGACATGCCAAAAACAAGTGAACAATTTCTAAAACACATATCAGTTTTAAAGTTGGGTTAGCTGATGGGGAATATAGGGGAAAAAAATCTAGAAAAAAATTTGGCTATCGCTGCCTTTATGCTGCTAAACAGTTACTTGCAAAGTTATTTTTTGATGAAGCTGTCATACTGCCTGTGAAAGTGACATCTCCAGTCTGCTGATGTCTCATCGGTTTTGAGGTAACTTACGAAAGGAAGATGTGCTGGAGGAGCCCCTCAGAAACTGCTGCAAGCCATCTTCGCCATCACTGGAGCTGGCTATGCTGTTCCTCATTTCCAGCATGGAGATCTGTGCACAGAGACTGAGTTGGTGCTCCAGCTTTTTGGCCTTCTATAAAACAAAGTTTTAAGATTTCTGAGATTTATGAGACCTGAATCATATAAGCCCTGTAAATAGCATGTACTTTTCCTTGAAATAGGCTGGTGAAAAAAAAAAGGACCTGATACACCTTAAGTATCCAATAAATGTAAGCCGTCATTTTATCAGCTATTACTGTATACACATTATCAGAACTTTAATTGACTCAATAAGCTATTTATCAATAACAATGTAACAGACAGCTGAGCCAAGATGACTGAAGAGGTGCACACCGTATTCGGTGTTCCTGGAGAACAGTACGCAACACAGAAATGACATTTCACAAGTTCTTTGGTGTAACTAAACTTCCTCCTAACCAAATGTGGGAAATGAAGATCAAAGTGTAAATTGCTGAAGATCTGTGCATATCTGAAAGCCAATCCTTTCCTGTCACCCACGGGCTTCCTGGGTGTGCTGTACCCAGGAAGATGTGCAGGACTGGGAGAGGCCTTGGATAAGATGCCAGCTGTCTGCTTTCAGGGTTTACAGCCTTTCACATCTGCAGCCTCCCTGTGGCCCTGCCATTCCTGGTGTACTCTACTCTGATACCCTCCTACTCCCTTAGCATCTTCCTTAGGTTACTTAAAAAACGCTTTTGAAGAGAAAAGTGCTTCCATTTCATAAATACTGGCCCCTAACACAGACTATTTACTATGCAATAGCAAATGTAATAAATATAAACTATTCCCTCACTCTCAAGGACCTCTCCATTACAATATCCCCTCTGCATCTATTGTATGACTACTCAATGGAAATAAGGAAAACACAGATTGGGTAAAGTGAAGTATGTCTCACTGTACATACTCAGGAACAAAAAATCAGAAAAACACTTACTTTATCATTTAAGGTGGGATCATTCAATGAGTAGAGCTTATTTGTAATGTCTTTTCCTATAAGATACCTAAATATTTCATACAGGAAAGGCTCTGATTCCAGAAAGTAAGTTAATCTTTCTCTTGACCAGCATAAAAATCTGCAGTTATCATCTGCAATAATGGTGACCTGCCAAAGACACAAACATGGAAAGAAAAGAAATGCATCTATGTATGTGAATTATGACTACAGTATTTGGGAGAAGGAATGAGTACAATAATTTTAACAGACATTATCATAGCAAATAATTTGTCAAATTAGTTAAAATTCAATGCATGCAAGCTTCTATAGCTATACGGAAAATTATGTTTAAAAACAATCTCAGACTAAGCACAAACAGGAGATATATTTAGCTCTCATCCCCTAGTCATTCTCTACTATTTTCCCTCTTCCATATTTGTCAAAATACTTACTGTCCCCTCAGATGGCCATATCTCTTTATTTATTATCACTCTCCCTTTTGAGAATGTGAGCTTCATGGGATAAGAATCTTGCCTAACTTATTTACATTGTAACCTCAGTGTTCTGATGCCTGGCACAAAGTACCTGCATAATAACATATTGAAAGAATGAGTGAAATTTAGTATTTTATGGAGTCTTAAGGGTGCCGATACATTTAGTAAATCCAAATGTGTCTGTTTTAGGGGATTCTTACTATAAGTCCAAACTTTCTTTTTCTAGGAATACTGACCCACTTTTTAAAGTGGCCAGTCCTACTTTGATAAAGATTAGTTTTCAGCCTGTTGATTTAAGGGCAGAGCTGAGTTTCTCATTTTCTCTTTTGACTGCCTTACGTAACCCCTTTGTCATCTAAAATGTGTTTCATTTTGTGTTGGACACAGGGAAAGAGCTCTTCTGAAAATATCTGCTCTGAGGCCCAGATAAGACTTCATATCAATTTAACAAACTTTTATTAATGTTCTACTAGGACAAGCATTGGGTTTAATGTTGAGGATATGAAAACAGTGCTTGCCTTCAATAGTCTTTGTGCCCATTCACACAGTAAACATGCACTGGGTACCACTGTGACTGTTGGAAGCCAGACATTTTAGGATAGGCCTCTGTTCTAATATGATTATGCCCTATGAAAAAGGGAAAATTGAAGAGAGATTTTAAAACTTCTATAAAATAAATGTTCTTGGTCCCTTGAACAGTGTCATAGGGAATTGCTGAGGAGCCAGAATCAGAAACAGCAGTGTGACATAAGCATTAGTGAACTGTCCCGAGGGGAAAATGTATTCCTTTTTCATGTACCATACAGCATTTCACATGCTAGGAGCACAAAACTGTACTAGAAGAGGTCTGTTCATCTGCTGCTCACTGAGTTCTCATGAGCCCTAACGTGTAACGGTTAAAACTGGCAGGTTAAACTGCTCTATATCCTCACTGAAATATGCACTTAATATTAAGATAATGTTATCTTTAAATATCAAGTAAAATTCAGTGTTCACTTGTTTCACAAGACCATGGACATATGTCTCTAAGGCATTCACTCCTCTTCCCTTGACATGAATAAAACTGATTTTCAGGCTTTGCAGCACCAGACATACTACTGTCTATGGGAAGACAACAGCATGAGACACAGCACAAAAGAAAAACATGTCATCGGCAGTGCCCACTTGATATGAAACAACTGCACAAAGAGAAAGAAGCCAAACACAACACACTACTACTTCTATCTTCTGTAACAGTGATCCCAACCATCATAAATAGCAACTTTGGTCTATAAGTACCAAAATGACTACAAGCACCTAGGGAGAGGAACTGTAAATTCCAACTTCTCTTATTCATTTCTATCACCCTGCCCATTACTATTATGATTAGTACACCTTTACCTGAGCAACACTTAAGATGCTGTGCGACTTCAAAGAACTATTACCAAGTGCCTTGCCTTTTCTTTCCAACTTTCGTCGTACTATATAATTCAGCAGCAGCCTGACCACAGAATGAATTTAAAGACATACATATTCAGAAGACGTAGCTGCTTGTCAGAATGCTCCCCAGAGGGAAGGATGAGCTTACGAAATAAAGGCAGACAGGTGGAGAAGTCCAACCACTGAATATTGTGATTGGTACAGGAAGTTAAGAAATTGGCCCTGGAAGCACATGACATTTTTTCATTTAGGAACTTGCTTCAGTTGGAGAATATATACATAGTACTGCTACATAGATGTGCAACAGCCACATTTTACTCTTGAGTATCTGCTAACAGGAATAGTTTGTAAATAATCAAAGAACACCTCTCAAGGGTTTACTTTGATAGAGTTAGCTTTGACTGTACAGGGACAGCCTCGATGATGCTAGAGTAATTTTCATCTGCTGGCCAAACACAAAATGCCACTTCAGATTCTCTGCAGAGAAGCAGAGAAAAACTGACTGGTAATAACAAAGGATGACTCAGAATCCTTCATCCAGGTAGGCAGGGTACTTCAAATCTGGTCAGGTTCTTGGAATCTTCACATTAGGTACCAGCAACAATTCTCAACTCCCAAAATCTAATCCCCAATGTCCAAGAAGAAAAATAACTGTATTAGTGGTAGGAATTACCTTTCGTTAACCAAATTATAAATGTAATATAATTTAAAGCCTAGCAGAAAAGGTACTACACTTTTGTGTTCCTGGACGCTCATGAACCTCTTACTTTAGGAGACAAAGGTTTGGTTCTCATTACACCCCAAATCCCAGATTCTTCAGGGTAATATGAGACTGAGTTATCATTTAAAACCACCTGCATTTTTCCCCCATAGCCCTGCCCTCCCTTCCAAGACCTGTCATGTAGAGGTACAAGATCCCAACAATGAATATAACTGTACTGTATCCCTAAGCTCATGAACCTCTTACTTTAGGAGACAAAGGTTTGGTTCTCATTACACCCCAAATCCCAGATTCTTCAGGGTAATATGAGACTGAGTTATCATTTAAAACCACCTGCATTTTTCCCCCATAGCCCTGCCCTCCCTTCCAAGACCTGTCATGTAGAGGTACAAGATCCCAACAATGAATATAACTGTACTGTATCCCTAAAATGTACCAATATACACACAATTCAGGGTAATATGAGACTGAGTTATCATTTAAAACCACCTGCATTTTTCCCCCATAGCCCTGCCCTCCCTTCCAAGACCTGTCATGTAGAGGTACAAGATCCCAACAATGAATATAACTGTACTGTATCCCTAAAATGTACCAATAAACTCAATTAAAGCTAAAAAAAAAAGAATTTTATTCTTTGCCCTTAAAAATACTCATTATGAACAAAAGGGTAAAATGATTCAATTTTTTTCATGATTACTAAAATAAATTCTCTAGGGCAAAGCTAGTTTTGTTTCTCCCTAATAGAATTAATCAATTACATGTTTTAGGTACACTGATTATTTATAAAGGTATTTTCCTTTTCTTGCATAATAAAAATGTTAAATATTTTCTATGGAAAAATTATATTCAAATAAGCAAAAAGAAAATTTTAAAAGCACACAAACTCATACCGGAAATAACCATGTTAACACCTTGACTAAAAGAGAATGTATCTCTATGCCCCTTTTTTATGTACATATATATATACATTTTGTTATGGTTTAGATTTTAAAAGTCCCCCCAAATTTTTATGTGTGCAGAAGATGATTCACACAGGTTTTGGTACCAGAGAAGTGGTGTTGTTGCTATGACTGTACCTGAACATGTGATTTAGAAGCCTTTAGAACTGGTTCATAGGAGGAGTTTGGAAGAATGTGGAGATGCTGGCTAGAGAAACCACAGAATGTTATAAACTGAGCTTGATGGGCAAGTTTGGTTAATGCTCAGAAACCACAACACTAAAAGAAATGCAGATGGTAAAGGTCAGCTCAGGAGGTTTCAGTTGGGAACAAGGACTCCATTGGCAGTTGTGCTAGAAGTCATGTGTGTTACCCTCTGACAGAAAATCTGTCTACATTTTGCCCACATCCCGAGACTTTATTGGGAAACTAAGATTAAAGGCCAGTGACTAATCTGGTGGACTAATTTCAAAGTACCTTGATGTTCAGACTGGCATGGGTACGGCTGACTGCTTTTAGGCAGATCCCCATTGAGAATCAGCAGCAAATGGTCAAGCTGGATAATTTTAAAAGTTATTAGTTTCCCCAGAAAGAAAGCACCTGCAAAGTTGGAGCAAAGGAAAGCATGGTTGCTTAAAAGATTAACATTAAAAAGAAGCCAAGTACTTTGTACCAGGATCATAGGAAAGATGGCTGGAAGCCATCTCAGGAATCAGCAAGACCTCGCCCATTACAAGCTCAATGGTAAAAACTGTAAAGCTTTCATTTGAGAAGACCCAGGGGGCCCCCTGCTAAAGAAGGGCCACCTAGGAAATTGGTTCACTAAGATTAATTTCATCATGCTTGGCACTCAAGAGGCCACTGAAACTGTGATCCAAGGGAGGACCTAACTTCTGCTCTCAGTGATGGCAGACCTTGGCCATCAAGGTACTGATTTTATGGGCACCCAGAATGTAAGAGTTGCAGTGTGACCACGACAGAGCAGTACACGAAGCTTTGAGAGTGACACCAGAAGTTCAGTGGAAACCTCAGGAATTTAGAAATGCTGGGAACGTAGAACGTCTGCTGGACATAGCCACCCAGGAATGACGCTGTGTGTGCTGTAGCTAACACTGCATGGGGCTGGGTCTGTCCAAGCCCTCTGGAGTTTACATCTCACCATTCCTTTCTATCCACCTATTTTCCTCTTTTGGAATGGAAATGTTTACCCTGTGGCACTGTATGCTGGAAGTATTTAACTTTCTTTTGGGTTTTGTGGGTTTTTTTGTTGTTGCTGTTTGTTTTGTTTTTTTGGTACTGGGGATCGAACTCAGGTTTACGCTTGCAAGGCAGGCAGTGGAACCACTGATCTAAATCCCCAGCTCTCTTTTGGGTTTTTAACAGGGGCTCACAGCTGAGAGTTTGCCTTGAGTCTCAGAGGGGACTTTGGACTTGGACTTTTCAGCAATACTAGGACTAAACTTTGGTGACTCTTAGGGATGGATTAAATACTTTTGCACAATGAGTTGGATATGCATCTTTTGGGAATGAGGGGTGGAAATTATGGCTTGGATTTAAAATGTCCCCCCAAATTCTCATGTATGTGGAAGGGGACTGGATTATGGTGGTAGTATATTCATCAGTGGACTCCTCCATTGACGAGTTCAACAGCTAAATGTGCTATTAGGAAGTGGGGTCTGCATGGAGTCAGAGCATGAGGACATGGCCTAGGAAAGTATATTCTTATTCCTAGCTCCTTCCTTCTCTCTCTGCTTCCTGGCTACCATGGGCTGAAAAGCTTTCTCTGCCATCCCCACCCACCATGCCATTCCTGCCTTGGAATCAGCTGACCATGAGCTGAAACTATGAGCTAAAATAAACCTGTCCTCCTTTAAGTCGTGAGAGTTGGGTATTCTGTCTCAGTAGAGGGAAGGTGGCTAATACATCCACTATTTAAAGTTTTAAAAATGAGACTGTACTGCCAGGGATTTAGCTCAGTGGTTCTGGTGCCTGCCTCACAAGGGCAAGGACCTGAGTTTGATCCCTGGTACCAAAAAAAAAAATGAGATTGTACTATATATGCCATATAGTAACCTCTTTTTTCAATAAATCATGGCCACATTCTAATAACTGTTCAATTTTAAATGAGCTATGAACTAGTTTCAATCTTCTTTAAAATCACACCATAACATACCTGGAATTTTTCACCTTTGTGCATCTGAGTTGATCTAAATTCAGGAGAGTCTATAAAGGCACAGGGGTAAATATTATGCAGAAAATGTCCTCGATAGGAGACCTTCATTCTGATAACAGAAAATAATATTAATAAACATGTATTTCACAAATAATGTGACAATCTTTAAAATCTCCATAATATTATGGGACTGTACTTTGTACTTAAGTTTTAAAGATTCCAAAGGTGACAGACAGATAAAAAACACTTCCTGAAAAAGAGTAATTTCAAAAAAATAATACAAGGGAAACAAAACCAGCACCTGCTATTAAACCAGATGTGCCTTCTGATGGTTATCACTGCTAGAACACCTGGAGTGACCACATAATTTGTTACTTAAACTGGGAGACTTTGAGAAGGGAAAGGATGTTATTAACAATTATGCCCACACAGTAGTACCCACGGGCTCTTTCCCAGAAGACAGTCCTAAAAGTTATATTTTATGATATTCAAAAAAATAAGCAAATCACCTTTAAAGTACACATAAGCTTCTTGAATTTTAATGTCAATTTTGACTTAATTTTTAAAAGCTGAAAATGGTTAAAAATAGTCACATTTGAAAATTTTTCATCAATAAAATTTAAATCAGTTAAGTCTTCCTAACTTTAACATCTTGCTACACAGCACTACACAGTTTAATTATAAAATGAAACTTCATAAGCACCACACTCATTATTCATTAGTTGACAACATCTCCTTTTACTTATTTCCCTCTCAAAGGTCATGAAAAGATTCAAGGCAAACTAGGAATTCCTACTGCCATACCTTCCCTTCAGGAGAATACTAAGACGGTCATCAACTGAGGTTTTATCCTCTGCAGCATAAGTCTGGCCCTTTTTCAAGGTTTGAATCATGCAAAACTGTCCAGTTAATCTTCTGAACAAATCTGGAGGCACATGGAGTGGTTCAAACAGTCGCCGGTAGATGCCACTGAGCTCCCTTTCAATCTTTACCTGAAATGCAGCAAAGGGGAGACACTGCACTAAAAAGTCGCACCCCAAGACACTGATTTCTGTGGTATAAGTATGGATTTCAGAATGAACAAATCACCTTTCTGTTGAATGTACCATCACCCTTCTGTTTTTAGGACAATGGAGTCTTAGAGAGTAAGCAGTGATGTAAATTTCTACTTTATTTGCTAAAGGGGCACGTTTGCAGTTAAAATCAACTGTAACAGCTTAAGAGCAGATTGGCACTTATTGATCACACCTTGTTCTGCTGACCATAAAGCAGCTGTTGAAATTTTGGATGTTGTTAGAACATTCACCTTCCCAACCATAGTAACTTCTACAAATAACACAAAATTTCTTCTGCAAAGCTTTTTGTTTTGGGGAGAGAAATTACATTAACTCTTATATGTTATAGTAAGAAAACAAACACACAAAATAGGAATCAATGTAAAAACAAATCTATGAAACAAATACTGTATTCAAATTAAATGTTTTATCTCTGTGTAATTATTTACTGTATTTATAGAGGAAAACAAACTCCATAACTGGGATCACTGCTTCACATTTCTAAATTCTTAAACCACAAGAAGGAAAAGACAACGGTATAAAGGAGTTCTAGAGTAGCAGTTTCATCCTAAGCTAAAATGAATGCTGTAGAATGGAGAATCCCGCTGGTGAATAATACTGGCTACTGGAGGAAGAGAAAGCAAAACGGCTTTATTTTGTCTGTTGCCCAGATTTTCTCAGGCCAAGGTCATGCCCCAGCTCTGAGCCAGGCGCTCTCTGAAAATCACACTAATTGGGTGGATGGAAAACTGTACTGCACTGGGAGTGAACTCTGCCCCAGCGAAAGCTCCAGCAGACACCCTACAAAGCCGGCAGACCCAGATCACAAGAGCTGCTCCAACACGATGTCACTCTAGCATCTGCAGTGATACTACTTGTCTTGCTGTTTCATTTTGATAAAGAACCAGCATTTATGTTTTTCAAAAAATAGTTTGATATCTTGAGAATCCTATTTGGTGCTTCAACCACATCAGCAATTTATGAACATTGTATTTGGGGGCTCCAGAAAGTTCTGATATTTAGGAACTATTATTGTCATCATTGCATTCATCTATCTCTCCCACTCCATGCCTCTAGATGAGCATATAAAACAATTTATTCACAAATAAGTCGCATGCACATTGCCCAAGGTGGTGCTGTAATGAACAAAGCATCAAAAACTCTTGCAATGCATTTTATATTCTACTCATCCTGCAAGTCTCAGCTCGAGACCTAATTTCTTCTTCCTGAAGTCCTCTTAATTCTTTTCTCTGAAGGTACCGACTCATCAAATCAAAAGTTTTTCTGACCACCTACTGTGTGCCACTCATGATGGACAGGAACAGGGACTGTAACAGAAGGTGTGTTAATTACGGTATTGTTCCTGTTTGCTGTTCTCAGCCCCTAGTAGAGGATTATATATTCCCTTTCACTGCTTTACTTTCCACAGTAACAGGCTTGGCCAAGTCGCTTGCTGTGGCCAATGAAATATGGGCAAAAGTGACATATGTGCCTTCTGAGCAGACGTTGTATGGTACACTGGTTGTTCCTCTTTTGTTCTTTTGTATTCTTCCCTCTGCCATAAGAACGAATGGTCCAAACAGAACCTGCTACTTTAGCAGAGACCCTGAAATGAACTGGATAATGGGGTATAGTGATAGCTGACACAGTCACCATATAAGGTGGGTGAGAAAAAAGCCCATTGCTAGTATCTGTCACTAAGATTTTTAGGTTATTATCCAGCATAACTTACAGAAAACTGACCAGTACAATAAAGCAACAAAGACTGAATTACTGTGTTTGAGATTACAATCTAGTGGAATGCCTATTACACATTATCACCTGTATCATTCAAATTGCAATCTCCTGTTGCCTGTCTGTTTTCTATTAGTTTTCTTCATGCAGGTCTGGCCTTGAAAATAAGATCAGGGCAAGTATTACATCTTTTATTTTAGTGAATGTTTGTGCATTCTTAGGGCACTCAGTAAATATGTATGAAGTGATTTCTAGAAGCCATGCTATTTTCCCTACTCGACTTTTGTTCCTGGTGTGATCAAGAAAACCCAACAAGATAAATCAAGAGCTGGAAATAAAAAAATTAAACACTGTGTTTGGTAATTACCCATCAAAAATGGTGATTTCCTTAAGTGAATATTTTGGGCACAAGAAAAAATATATAGTCATTACTTTAAAAAAAAAACATGAACTATTTGCAAATCACTAGGAAGTTTACGGAAGTTGCCTATTAGTAATTTTATAATGGAATATCAGTAGACAAAGAAAATAAGCAATATGACTTTTAAAAGAGCATTATTCATGTTCTTTCATGCCTAATGTATTTTAAAAGGTCTAAAAATTCATTTGTAGACCAAATCTCACAGTTCTCAAATATTATACTTTCAGGCATTTATAAATGGAAACTTCAGAGAAATTATATTGAAGGAACTAAAGATGTTAGATGTTCATTCTAAAGTTTGAACAAAATGCTTTTAAAGCTTTTATATTTAAAATCACTTCCTCATTAAATGATTTTAGTAATTACCGGTCTCTTCTTGTACAAAAGATATGAAAGATGCAAAATGTTGACACCCAAGAACACAGAGTTCCAGATCATTACATCCAAGGCACATCGGTAGAGAGTGGCCCACACAATATAGAGGGTACATCCTGTTGGATAACAAAGTTAACAGTCAGATATGTAGAATAACTTTAGCAAGTAGCTTAGTAAATTTTTCATCCTCTGTATACAAGTCCAATGTATTTTACAAATACCTAAGCCAAATATCACAGTTTTGTTTCATTTGAGTTTAGAGTTTTGTTTTCTTGGGTTGAGATTTGGGTTTAGAACCACATTCTTCATTGCAAAACATTTGTATAATACAGAATTTTTTTAAAAGCAGAGCTGGAGATTGAACCCAGGGCCCACATGTGCTAGGGAAGCAGTCTATGACTGAGTTATACCATCAGCCCAAAGAAAATATTTAAAGGAAAGATTAAAAACTACAGTTCTATAAAGAAAACCCCAGTTGACACTTGATGCCGTTACAGTTATGTAGTTTTACTAAATGAAAAACCTACTGTATATATAATTTTAAAATATTTTAAACTACAACAATTTTCCCATTTCATTAAAACTTCTTTTTCCTCATTGAGTTTATTGGCACATTTTAGGTATACAGTACAGTTACACTCATTATTGGTATCTTGTAACTTTACATGACAGGTCTTGGTTCTCATTTTTTCCCCTTGTCCCTACCCTCCCCCTTCACCCCCTCCTCTCCTCCCCATTTACAAACATTTTATTTCCATTTTTTCATTTTCTCCTATTTCTTTTCCTTTCCCTTATTACCTTTCCCCTACCCTTCCCACTTCCCTACACCTTTAGCCCTTTTCTTCCTATTTCACATTGTCAATTATCTCATGAGGATCTTATGTACTATTATAGTTTATTCACACCAGAGAAACTATTTGGTATTTACACATGTGTGCCTTATTTATTTCACTTAGGAGTATATCCTCAATATGTATCCATTTTCCTATGAATGAATCTAATTTCTCAATCTTTATGGCTGAGTAATACTCCATTTTATAGAAAAACCACATCTTCTTTATCCAGTTTCCAACTGATAGGCAAATGGACTGTTTCCAAGTTTTAGCTATTACAAACTATGCCGCTATAAACATAGGTGTACATATATCATCATGATATGATTCATTAAAACTCTTTATAAGCATAGTTTTTAGTGACTATAATGGATTCAATCATAATCCTTAACCCTCTCCATACTGGTTACAGATGATATTTTAGGGGTATGATTTTTGGTAAGAAAAAGCAACTTTACACATAAAAGTATCTGTATTTGTTTGCTTAGGTTATATTACCTGAAGGTGAACTTCATATCTTTGGATGGTATGAAGAGTTGTTTTCCAAAAGGTCTGTACAAATTTATAAACCTACTATTTCAGAATGCCAGTATCTGGGTGTCAAAATAAAATTTGAAAACTCTTCATTTGATAATAAAGAGTTTTATTTTATTTTGTATTCTCATTAATACTAGTGAGTTTAAATGTCATACCAAAATTTTTTAACCATCTGAATTTTTCACTTACTAATATCCATTACAGGAAACTTCCTGTTTCTTCTGACTTTACATACAATATCTCCAGTTTCTTTTGGATCAATTTTAGGGTAGGAGAGTTAGTATATTTTTAATTTAAGATGAAATTTTCAACTAACATACAAATATATCAACACACATGGACACAAAAGCTAACCATTGACATTAAAAGTTCTTCATCTGCCATTCTTTACCTCATCAGAATTATTTGGGAGCACCTAAATAAAGCTTATCACTTTACTTGGCCTCACTTTCCTCACTTATAGTCTAAAATACTGGTCTAGGTTGTGTCTTTGCTCCATTTTACCTCCAAAACTGTCTTAAAATTCAAATTTGGAGTTTTTTTAAGGTTTCAATTTCTTGCTTCAATACACTATATTTTAATGGCTGCAGTGCTTTTAATCAACACGAATTATGATTTGACTTTGAAATAATGTAGTAATATGACATCAGCTGGCATGATTACTCCATTCCTTTAGGGTAACCGCCAACAGGGAAAAGGTTCCATTCTATTCCAATTTGTGTTGCTGTCTACAGTATGTCCATACAGCAATATAGAATGTGGCTCCACCAAGTAACACAGCATGACCATTTTGGTCATGGAAATTGATGGACATTTCTGGTGGCCCTGCCTTGCTACCATTTGTTGAATGCTTCAAACTGGAAGATGACCTAGTATGTTTTTGGCCAAGATAAACATCATGGACCTGAAGAAAGAACTGTGGCTATTGCAGCTGTTGGTTTGATTCAAATTACCTCCAGATACCCTGGGCTGGACTTTTTTTTTTTTTAATAAAATGTGGCCTTAATCTTTTTTAGTGTAATACCATAATCTCCTCCTGCTTCGATTCCCACCTAACTCAAGGGTGACAAAGCCATAAGTCTCACAATCTGCCTTCTAGCTAGCCTTCCAGCCTCTTGTATTTTTCATTTATTTCAAAGGTTTCATAGGTTCAAAGAGTTGCTCTTCATTCACCCCAAAATATTGCTAAGTTTCCCTTTCTTCTGTGCCCTTTGCCAGGGTAATGCACATACAGAAAAATCCTGCTCATCTTCCAAACGCTGGCTGCAGTGGTTTGTCCTGAGTGGGCCTGTGTCACTTTCTCATTGAGCCTGTCACCTCCTCCTTTCCCCTGGGCACGGATGTACACCTGTGTCACAGAATCCAGCTCCTCACACTGTGACTGCCCATCTTTCTCTCTGGGGATAGAGACTGTCTTCTTCAATCTTTGTCTCATACATTACAGGTACTCAAAAACACACCTGAATAAATGGATTATCAGGAAAATTCACAGAAAGAGTAATCTGTCAAGAGTCACGGCTAAAGTAATCCATTCAATTATTTTAATATTTCGACCTGAATCCATTTAGGTTACAAGAACCAAATTTTTTTTTCTTTAACTACTGTGTATGGGTATTTACTTCGGTTACAAGGTTGCTTTACTGTCCACAGCAATTGAGCGTTTTCAATAATAATAGTTTGAGACTGTATAGTACTTACTATGTGGCAGAATATAGTCATTTAATTCTCACAATCCTATGAGGTGGTTTTACTCCTTCTCTATTTGATACATGGGGAGACTGAGGTGGTAAAAAGATTAAATCACTTGTCCAAGTTACATAGTTCCCAAGTGGTAGAACCAGGATTCAAATCATACAGTCTGACTCCAAAGTACATGAATGGATTTTCTGCTATCTGGAAAATCTAAACAATATATGAAAGCATGCATAGTTTTTCTCAAAAGTAAGGGATAGAGATGTTATGCAAAGACCTTGTTTTAAAATATTTGATATGCTGCTAATTCAACAAAGACTTAAACTCTTCAGTATGCTATAGACCTCACAAGGATTACTCTGAAGTCCCCAACACAAAGCCCATCTGATGCTATTTATATCCAATCTCAGTTAGATATCTTACCTATCGTAAACATCCCTCTAAGAAATATCATATGAAGATGAAGAGTAGTTGGAATAACCAAACCAACTGCAAAACAAATATTTGCTACATGAAAAACTAGATGATGTATCTCTCGCCAGTTTTCACAAGTGGTCTCATTGGAAGGCACAGGTATGATACTTCCTAACTCAGGCGTAAAAGCTATCGTAGTTGATTCTGCCAATGAGCTGGTCTCCGTATAATTCATGTTGAAAATTCCTGTAAAATAAAGAAATATTTTATCATCCTTTTTACAAGTGTTACAAGAAAAGGATTTCTGGGCCAGGGGCTCAGTGGCACTGAGCCTGCCTTGAAAGCACAAGATCCTGAGTTCGATCCGTGGTAACAGAAAAAAAAAAAAGAAAGAAAAAATAAAGAAAATGATTTATGTGAATTGAATGTTGGTAAACAGACTTCTCTAGCACTTATGAATTAGGAAATACATGTGACATTTCCTTATCTATTAAATCATAATGGCTTATGTGCCTTATGATGAAATGAAATATATAAAATACTTTATAGCATACACAATTATTCCCTGGCACACAAATATACATACATATGTGCATATAGATACATACATATACATACGTGTTTATGTACACGTATAAAGTATACCTATTCATATTTCATGGGGAAAGGAAAAGAATTAACTAACCTAAAAGACAATCACCAGTGTTCATAAGCAACAACAATTACAAAGTTTTTTAGTATAATCTCCATTATGTTTTCATTGCTGACCCTAAATCCAAGCACAGGAAAAATAAACTGAATGTTTTAATGCTTTCAAAAAATTAATAGCCTTATAAGTGAAGGTTTAAGATATTTAGATGGTTTTGTTTTATACCATCATTTAAATCATTGTATCATGAAAATATTACACATTATCATATGTGGACATAATATACAACTATACAAATTACCATAAACACTTATATACATAAAACAACATTTAAAATTTTTGTCCAACTTGACTCTACTTTCTTCCCCAAAATTCTAGTTGGTAGCACCTCACAAATTAAAAAGTAGTAAAGTTCCACTTTACTTATATGTAGGAAGGGTTGAAAATATAACATTTATTTAATAGTAAGACCCATAGGGCCGGGGATTTAGCTCAGTGGTTCCGCTGCCTGCCTTGCAAGTGCAAGGACCAGAGATCGATCCCCGGTACCAAAAAAAAAAAAATTAAGACCCACAGAAAATACATTTCAATTAATGTACATTTTATACTCCTTATATAAAACAAAGTAGCACTCTTCCTTGACCACATTAACTGTTCTTGGTGTTCATCCTTTAAAAAAAAAATCTTTTTTTTTTCAGTAGTGGGGATGGAGCTCAAGACCTTGCACTCACCAGCAAGGCACTTTGCCACTTAACTACATCCCCAGCACAAAAAACCTATTATTTTTAAAATCTATTATTAATTACATAAGTTTGGTCCTTGACAAAAATTACATGAGTTTACAAAATATGTGAATTTTCCTGCTTTAATAAAAAAGCTCCAAATACGTCCCAAAATACCTTTAAATTTAATTGAGAAATATATACTCCTTTCAAAGTGAGGTCATAAATCATGTTACTCTATTTGTGTTTTCAGTATATTAAAGACTGTAAGTGGTAGGATTATTGGCTAGGGGGTGCATTTTGAAAGGACGTTAACAGACAAAGGTGGAAGAATTCCACATCTCCTAAAATGACAGAAAAAAAAATCAGTTTACAAAGTGTGGAAAAAATGATCAATTAAAGATCTCTTTATATAACTCTGAAATTGCTCACAATCAGTTGACTTAACTACTGACTTGCTGTAAAAAGAAAGGAAAAAGAAAGAATTCAACTACTTTCCAAATGTTTGAATCAATAAAAATATAAGCCAATTTGGATAGAGGAAATCATTATTTTAATAACTTGGTACAAAATTGTATCGTTTGCTTTGGAGAAATCAGATATCATAATTATAAATTATAATTTCAGCAGGAGAGAGTGGTATTAAATGTCCCCAGTCACTACCTTAACGTCAAATCTTCTTGCACTACACAAGTTAATAGTTACAGTTTCTACAGCACTTTAGAATGCACAGCATTCCTCTCGTCCTTTTTGTTCTAACTATCCTAAGTTCTCTATAAGGCAAGGACAATGTTTATTTATATGCTGTACTTCTACGGCTTCTACAGAGAAGGCCAGAGGCAGGGAGGAAGCCATAGGGAAGGGACATAAACACCACAAACACTTTTGGAAATCACTGTCCAGGAGCAGACAGACTCCTTAGGAGAGTGCCTAGCCTTTCTGAGGTTGAGAGTCAGCGTCTATCATTCAAGCCACCAGGGAGCCATGTAAGCCAGGGCAAGTCATTGCTGTTTCTCACTCTTTCTCTTCCTTGGAATAGAGGCAGGGGGACTACATGGTCTTTTAAACTTCAAGTTTTAATGGTCTGTGGTTCTAATACAGATTTATATAACAAGTCACTTCATAAACACTTGAATACTCCTGTGTTGCCTACTGGTCTAAAGTAGTTTAATGTTGGGCATTTGGAAGTTTGTGCAGTACCAATTTATCAAATTTAGTTCGCTAAAACAATCAATTTCTGGTCTAAGAAAATGGAGAGGAAAACTACAATTCACTGATCCAAGAACCAAAAAATAGTTAACAGTTTTTAAGAGGTGGGCTCATCTTAAAACATATTTTGACGCATTGTACCTTATTAAAAATACACAGACATAGCTATAGATATATAGTTGCCATGTACTTGATGTCATGAAATATTGATCAGATCAATATTGATCAGATCTGGCTTCACCTTACTTCAATTACTGCTTAATGGATTTAAATGGCTTACAAGGAATTGCCTTTATACAGAGAAGGAATGAGCTTAACAAGGTAGGCTTGACTGGTAAATTGGTTAACTTTCTGATGAATTTTTTTTAAATCCAGAAAAGTTTATTTTTCTCTCAGATCCTCAAAATCTAATTTCTTAAATTACTTGTTCTAGTAAATCCAAAAATGTCATTGACTTTTTTCCCCATTAAGTTTATTGGTACATTTTAGTGTACAATGCAGTTACATTCATCATTGGGATCTTGTACCTTTACCTGATATATCTTGGCTCTTATTTTCTCCCAGTTCCCCCTGCCCTCCCTTCACCCCTTCCAGCCCCCTACTTACAAAGACTTTGTTTTCATTTTTTGCCTTTTCTCATATTTTTCTTTTCCCTTCTTTCCTTACCCCTCCCACTACCCCTACCCCTTTAGGCCTTTTCTACCTAATTCAGATTATCAACTATACATTTTGATCCTTATTTATACTTCTAGTTTTTCATTGGTTTTTAAGTAGGTGTTTGCAAAACTATATCTAAACGCTGAAGCGAACGTTAAACTTTCACCAAACTACGAAAATGATGATAAACAGCAAAGAGTTCAAGCCTGGCTGGAAGACCTAATTGATTTCGTTATTCTAATCGAATCTTCGCACATCTTCAGAGTGGCAAAGGGCACTCTGTTGCTAAGAGTCTCTTCGCACTTATTCACGTTTCAAAGCAGGCAGTTTTCTGGCCAACAACCCGTTTCCCAAACTCTCGGGAAGGAGGGCGCGCGGTGAGTGGCAAGGGCTGCGGCTCCTCGGCCGCGCGCGCTCCCCGGGGCCC